CGCAGGGTGGAAACTGCGATTCGAATTTCTGTGCTGATTCCTTGCAATCATTGTCCATGCGATATACCTCATCATCGCTGTCTGACGCCTCAGGCTCTGCAGTCTCATGATGCACACCTGTGGTTTTGCGCACGCTCTTTGGGCTGTTCTGTTTCTGTAGGGTTTCCATCAACTTGGTCAAGGATTTGGTAGCCCTGGCTTCATCGAGGGCGATCTGGAGTATGAGGTTAGTGTTCGCAAGCAGCCTCCTCTGCAAATGAGTGTCCTGAACACCACAAATTATGTGGTCGAGGAGGAGCTTGTCCAGATCCCTGAATTCACAATATGCTGCAGCTTTTCGGAATGCAGCAACATACTGATTCATTGACTCGCCTTCCCTTTGGTTCCAGAGCTTGAATTCATGCCTCTGGATGTATTTAGATGGTCTGGGAGCATAGTGTATCCTCAGCGTCTGTTGGAGAACCGACCAAGTGGCCAATTGAAGTGGCGTTGGCTCGGAAAGATCTTTCATCATCTCGAACACCTTGGGTCTTAAGTAGCTTAAGAACACGGCTTTCTTCCAGCCTTCAGAAAAGCCGAGGAGGTCGTTTGCTTCAAGGAAGCTGTCAAACCTCATCATGTAGGACTCCCAGTGTTCGGTGGCTGGATCAAACAGAGTTGGTGGGGATGCGTCGTCATCGCGTACCTTGCTTGTAGCTGATTCAAATCTGCTGCTTTTAAGATGGTTGCTCACTGCCGTGCTTCGCTCCGGACTGGATTGTTGCTGGGTTGTTTCTGTTCTTGTGTCTAGTTGCCTTCCAATCCCTCCTTTGTCGCCAGTGTTAGATCATGGCAACGGATGAGACAGACTCAGGCGTCAGTAACAACAGCTCTTTATTAGTGACTCATATAACCAGCAAAGACCCCGCCTGGCAGCAGTTCTGTTATAGGGCTCAGGAAGGGCCTTCGACCAATAAGGTTTGAAAGAGTTCCTGCAGGTAACAGAGGACCTGAGTGGAAACTACTTACAATGCTATTTACATAAGAATCACTCCAAGTACTTAACACCCANGTAATAGGTACATCTAGTTTCTTCTTTAAAGTTCTTTAAAGTAGGAGCAATGAAAGTAGAATTTAAACGGTGATCAGGAAGGAAGGATGCCAACAGCTGCCCCACTTTTGGCTGAAAGTCCATGTAATCTAAATATTATTTTAAGGAATGTTGGTTATTTACCTATTTCCCTTGAATCAATTTGTTCTTTTGCCACAGGTGGGAGGCAATTCTTTTATCTTTAATCTGATGGATCTGGAGGAAGGCTGATGAAATAACCAAACAATTAATTACATGCCAAAAACTCCCTGACTTTCACAAGAGCCACAATTTCCTAGGCCAGAGTACAAAGCCAAGTATAAATGTTGGTTTTTTCTACCTTTATCAAAGGGTGGATTAGTCAAAACACACAGGAAGGAAAAATAAGAAAAAGAAAGAATATCAAAAGACACCGGAAGAAGAGTAAAAAGATTAAGATTAGAACTACAGAAAGAACCACAAAAAAGAAATTTAAGAAATCAAATGCAATTAATAAAACATAAATTATGCTTAATTGAAAAAGAAAAATTGGCACAAAAAATTAAAAGTGTAAAACAAAATTTCTTTGGAAATGCTAACAAACCAGGGAGGTGGCTGGCATATAAATTAAAAAAGGAGAAAGAAAAGAAACAGCTACGAAGTCTGGTGATGAGAAGGGTATCCTTCAACACCAAAATGATAAAAAAAGAAAATAATCTAGAATTATTATGAAAATTTGTATGATCAAGAGGAGCTATCAGGATAAAATAAAATATTTGGAAGAAGCCAGGTTGCTTAAAGTGCCTGAAGCAGGAAGAACTATGTTAAATGAAAAGATAACAATGTTTGAATTAACAGGTGATTAAGAGACAGAAGTACAATAAAACACCAGGACCAGATGGTCTACCGGCAGAAGTTTGCAAACAATTACAAGTATCCTAGGACTGTCAATGCTGGAAGTATAGAATGAAGTCTTGCTAGAAGCTAAGGTACCAAAATCCTGGATGGAAACAAATAATGCACTTATATTAAAGAAAGATGCAGATTTATTGCAAATTTAAAATTATAGACCAATCTCACTTCTAAATGAGGACTATAAAATTTATGCATCATTAATAGCTGAAAGATTTAAGAGATTTTTGAATGAATTTATACATACTGATCCAAATGGATTTTTGCCTAAGAGACAAATTAAAAGTAATAAGATAATAATTTTGAACACGTTGTAATATTATGAAGCACAACCTGAAAAATAAATGGTACTGATCTTTTTAGACACGCAGAAAGCATTTGATAATGTAAATTGGCAATTTATCATATGGCAATATGAATATATGGAATTTGGTGAAAAAAATTACTAATATGATCAAGGCAATATACAGCAAACAGACTGCAAAAGTGATTGTAAATGGAGAATAACAGTGAATGTTAATATTAAAAAAGGCACAAGACAGAGATGCCCACTCTCTGCATTACTATTCATTTTGACATTGGAAGTGTTAAATAGAGAGATATGGCAGGATATAGAAATAAAAGGGATAGAGATTAAAAAAGAAAAATACAAACTACAGGCATTTGCAGCTGACCTGTTATTTATCATAGAGGAACTGCAAACAACTGGATCCAAATTAATGAAGAAAATAGAAGACTGGGGAACTTGCAGGATTGAAAGTAAACAAAGAGAAAACACAAAACTTTACAAATAAACAGAAAAAAGAGTTAATAGAGAAAATAGACATTCAGAAAGTGAAGAAAGTAACATCTGGGCATTCATCTATCAGCAAGATGTGAAACTATAAGATAATGATGTTAAATTGATACAGTAAATTAAACTTGACTTGGAAAAGTGGAAAAACTTGCAACTGTTACTATTAGGAAGAATAGCTGCCATTAAAATAAATATCGAGATTATTATACCTGTTCCAAATAATTCCAATAAAACTGGAAAAGAAATATTTTGGGGAATTAAACAGATTTTAGTAACAATTTATTTGCAAGGTAAAAAAGCAAGAATAAGTCTGAAACTGTTACAAGAGTCTAAGATTAGAGGAGGCTTTGGGCTGCCAGATTGGGAGTTATATTACTAGGCATCTGTACTTATGTGCTAGAGAATGGATAACCTTAAGACATAGACCATGATTATCTCTTGAAGATCTCAATTTGCAACTGGGGTGGCATTCCTTTCAATGGTATGGGAAAAATAAAGTATAGTTATTTCCAACGACATTCCATTAGAAATGCCCTGTTTTCAATATGGGAAACAATTAAGGAAAAACACTATTTGAAAATACCAGTCTGGCTCTCTACGATGGAGGCATTGATACATCCAGATGTGATTGATATGGAAAAAATCATAAGATATAAAGATATTTTGAATAAGGAAGGGCAATTGAAAAGTAAATGAATTGAATAATCAAGGGATAACTTTAGCATGGTGGATTTCTATTTATTTTACTACTGGTTTGCTCATGTGCGCGCACACATGATACTTCTGCACATGTGCAGAAGCGTCCAGGCAGGTGGTCGAGCCTTCTGCTGCCATCACTACAGGTACAGGAACAACCCACGTCGGGGGCACAGGTACAAATACAATCAAGATATGAAAAAGATGTTAAATTATATGCTTTTTATAAAAGACCAATAGAATTGCACCAGATTCTAACAGGAAGTGACAAGTATAACAAGAGGAAATCATATTTGATTTTACATGTATTGACTGAAGCCAGAATTGTATTTGCACAACAATGGAAAAGTGAAGAAACCCCTAGAGATGAAAATGCAATAAAAAAATATTACAATGAGCAGAAATGGATTAACACAATTAAGGAAAAGGAAGAAACTGAATGCTTTTTGAGACTTATTTTATCAATAGTTAACTGGCAAAAACAGAAGTTAGAAACATGGAACTACCGTGTTTTCCCGAAATTATGACATATCCTGATAATAAGGCCATGTCACATTTTTCTGGTGGGCAAAAATATAAGCCCTCCACCTCCAGCTAGGCAGAGTGCCGCTCACCAACCTAGTGGTATCCCAAAGGTGCTAAGCCATGGGAACCAAGTCTTCTGGCAGTGGCCGCTCTGAGTGTATGCTCTATGGTTGTACGCTCTGCTGGCAGCTGGCCCCACAACCATAGAGTGTATGCCCAGAGTGGCCACTGCTGGAAGACTCGGTTTGGAAGCTGCAGAAAAAGCCATGGGACAGCAGTGGCGGCGGAGTGCCCTGGCTCTGCGGAGAGAGCTGGGCCAGGGCATTGTGAGGCTGGCAGGCGCATGAGCAAGAGCATAACAGCCACTCATGCAACCTCCCTCCAGCCGTGCAGAGTGCCATTCACTGCCATTTCAAAGGTGCCAAGCCGTGGGGTGAACAGGCACTCATGCAGCTTGGTGATACCCTTAGGTCAATGAATGGCGCTATGCCCAGCTGGAAAAGGGGTTTGCTGGGTGGCTGTTCATGAGTGTAGTTGCTTCAACACAGCCATTCGTCCATGAGGCTGTGCCCGGCTCTTTGGGAGCCCGCTTGCAAGAGAGCAGCTGCCCGGCAATCCNGTCATTTTTTTCAGTGCAGTTGTAACTTTGAACAGTCATTAAATGAACTGTTGTAAGTCGAGAACTGCCTGCATTGTTTAGCATAAAAACGGTTTCCTTCCTGTATAGGCTGAAAAACAACTCCTTTTTCCTGCTATGATGGCAGCAAAGTTTGATGTATTTGTTCCTCTTCAAGAGAGACATCATAAAACCAAGATGCTCCTTGAAAACAAGAAGCATAAGAAAGGGGTTTTTTTTAGTCAACGTTAATTAGGTCTGTTTATTTTGATCAAAGAATAGCAAGACAAAAGAGGGGAACTCTTAATAATGATGAATTACAGACACAGTGAATGGACCGTGTTGCCTAGAAGCTCAGTTTCTGCACGCAATTTTTAACAGACATTTCTTTATTCTCCAAAGGTTGTGAACAAGGGAATGAGCATGACAAGGAGTCATGGGAAGTGCCATTGCAAATAATCAAGCAGGAGGTGGAAGAACTGATGATTGAAAAGCAAGGGAAACAAAGAGGCCACGACAGAACCTACTCAAAGAATGGGGAGGAGAAATTTCCTCCTCTATGTGTTGAACTCCATGATTTCCCAATCCAGGCAGATCCGAAAAGAAAGGGACAATACCCAGAATGTGACAAAAGAGTTCAACGTAAATTTGATTCAAATGCCTCTTGCAAAACCCAGACTAAATGGAAACAATATAAATATAGACAGCACAAAAACATATTTCCTTCCCTCTTAATGGACCTGAAAAATTCTGTATGAAAAATAAGTCACATACGTTTTTAAGATCTGGAAAGAATATTAGCCTGAACCTCAGTTGTCAAAGTTACTCTGAAGGATTTCACCCAACACAGAAACCGCATAAATGCTCTGAGTGTGGGAAGAGCTTTAGTAACAGCAGTGCCCTTACTTTCCATCAAAGGACCCACACGGATGAAAAACCATATAAATGTGGGAAGCGTAATAAGACCACCTATAGAAACAGTATTCTTATTTGTCATCTTGATGAGAAACCATATGAATGCATGGAGTGTGGAAGGAGTTTCAGTAGCAGCAATGCCCTTACTAACCATTGAAGGATTCACACAAGGGAGAAGCCGTACAAGTGCACAGAATGTGGGAAACGTTTCAGTAGCAACAGTGCCCTTACTAACCATCTAAGAATCCACACAGGGAAGAAACCATATAAATGCAAGGTGTGTGGAGAAAGCTTTAGATGGAGCAGTGATCTTACTTCCCATTGGAGGGTTCACACAGAGGTGAAACTATATTGCCAAGATGCCAGCAGTCCAATTTAACAAGAAACAAGAACCTCCCCAGGGTTTTTGAACAGGATTCATTGAAGAGAATATGTTAACTACTTTTGGCTATCTTCTGCAATCTTGCTTCTGTAATCATCTGAATGTTCTGTAATAGGGCCTGGGAAGGCTGCTTGGGGAATCCTGGGACCCAAAGGGAAAGTTGGATGAGAGGCGAGTATGTTGGTCCCTTTTCCCTGGGTGAATTGTTTCTATAATTTTAATTTGTGTGGTAAAAATGACTGAACAGGTCTGGATGATTTCTTGACCTGGCCATAATTTGATATGTGTCTGCTAATAGGATTATTTATTCAAGTCTAGAAAAGTGATGTTAGTGCATTAATTCGAAGAGAGGTAAGAACGTGTAGGATTTGGCGATATGTTTTCACAAATTTTGCTTGCATGAGCAATTTAATATCTGCCCTGGCAAATTATCTTAAAATAAAAATAATTTTATTTCTGAATCTTTCTAAATACTAATACATACTGATAGTCTTCGAGTTATGATCACAATTGAGCTCAAAATTTATGTTGCTAAGTAAAACATATGTTAAGTGAGTTCGCCCCATTTTGCAACTCTTCTGGCCACATTTGTTAAGTGAATCATTGCAGTTGTTAAGTTATTAACACTGCTGTTAAATGAATCTGGCTTTCCCATTGATTCTGCTTGTCAGAAGGTAACAAAAGGTCATTGCATGACCCTGAGATACTGTAACCATCATAAGTATGAACCAGCTATGAAGCATCTGAATTTTGATCACATGACAACGAGGATGCTACAACAGTTGTATGAAAAATGGTCATAAGTAACTTTTTTCAGTGCCTTTGTAACTTTGGATGGTCACTAAATGAACTGCTTTAAGTCAAGGACTACCTGTGCTTTAAGGTAAAGGTTCCCCTCACAC